CGGAACCAAATACACGCTAAAATATGAGATATTACCGTATAATTTTTTTAACTTTTAATAAATTTTAATCAATAATAATTAAAAACTGGATTAAAAGTATATTAAAGAATATCTGCAAACATTTCTCATCTTAAAGTATTTGACTTGGACCACCTTCTTTTCTGCCTGATAGCATTTAATATAACCATAGAATCAGATTGAGCTACACACCTTGCGATCTCTTTTATAACGGTTTTGTACAGTATACCATTCCTTGGGTAATTTTGGAACAATAAACATTTACTAATAAAAAATATCATTTGAAATATAATTATATTCCTTATAATTTAATTTTTATATAATTTTAATTTTTAGTATGATTATATACATATCTGTATCACTTTCGTATTTTTTATTATTAAAATTAAAATTTTATTCATAATTCATTTAATAATCAATAGAAACGTAAATAAAAAATACATCTATCATTAATTTGTATAGATTGATGGTGAAACGGAATAAAATATTTGAATAAGATTTAAAAATTCTATTATATTTTATAGATACTTTTTATTTAAATATTTTATGCAGTTTTTCTTTTGCCAATCTAAATAAATTAATGACACCTTATTGTATTTTTATTGATTACTCAACAAAGTTTATGATTGATGACTTGATTTTAATAATTAAAAGAATTAAATGAGAATAATTAAAATCACAAAAACTAAAATTATAATATAAAAATTTAAACATAATTAAGTCAAAAACAACTGCGTTCAATTTAACATTCAACGACTCACATTTTCCAACTGTATCTATAAAGAATATCACAACAAAGTGATATAATTTCAAGAGTTACAATCACCTACAGAGTTTTATGTGTGGAAATTATGGATGATCCCTATTCGCATTTATGCTACTTCGAGCATGGTATACTGTATACGAAATATAGAAACAAAATCGTATACAGTGAGGCTTAAATTCAATCATATATTAAAATTATCCGAGCCATCTGAATTTATGGTTTTCAAATTATCAGAAAATGTGTTTAACGTAAATTGCATGAACTAAACAATTGCAACATAACACCGACATCAGAGATAATTGTGGCACAGTGGACTATCTTTTGGGGTGGGGTGATGTTGACCCAAGTCACCCAACGTCACACTTAACTTCCTACAGTGAGGTCGCTGTTGTTGGCCAAGGAGCTTCCTACTCAGACCCATTTCATCTGAAGCTACGAAAGTAAAATAGGAACACTTATTTCCATTAATTTATCCATATATATATATATCATATGGTTGCATGTGTACATGCAAGCTTAAGCTCAAGCTCAAAATTTGCAAATACTATATAGGGATGAGTAGCAGCACTTCACTTACCAGCATGAAGTTCAGAAGCACCAACAGGGTTCCTTGCTATTGCCTTGGCAGAAAAGCTAAAGAGAGAGAGAAAGAGAATCACCCAAATAAGCGAGCACCTCTTAGAAGCCATTAGTCTCTCCGTGCATCACAATCAACTCATGCCAACTTTATAATCCATAATGGGTGCTTGTCGCGTATTTTTCAAGCATTTTATTTTATTTAACTTTGGTAAGGTGTTTGACTTCGCTACCTCCCTAACTTGTCTTCTTTTTCTTTTGTCAATAACAGTGGCATGCAGGGAAATTTGTGTATACCATTCTCGGATGCTTCCGCGTAAACTAAGTCAACGGGTACGATAAAGGAGAACAACGCGTTGCATGTCTAAATACTCATTGTTAATTCCCTCGTATTTTCATCATGAGATAAAAATATATATATAAGACCCAAGTTCTGCGTGAAAGCAATGTCATAAGTCATGCATAATGTTAATAACTTTTATGTATATCAAGATGTATTTGACTTAGTGTCATATATAACAACCTCAAAAAATAACATGTATATAATAATAACAACATCATGGTATTAGAAAAAAAATATTTAATCTGTATATATACGCGTGCGTTGAAAGAGTTGAAACTTTAATAATGAACAGAAAAAGAGAATTGAATTCACCACCTCTCCTTCCATTTTGAAAAGGTCAATTTCCAGCCTAGCTAGGATTATGGCGATTAATAAAGCTGTACACAAACACCATTTAAAGATATGTAATAGATTTATAAATGTTTTGTAAACACAAAAATGCAATAACTGAAGATTATCTCCTTTAATTTGAAAATATATTTATGAAATATGTGTATAAAATAAAAGATAAAAAGTAAGTGGAAAAAATTACTCGTATATTCCCTTGAATTTCACACTTGAATCCATAAAGGTAGAAGTTTGTAGCCGACGTAAACAATTATAAAATTTGTACATTTTTTTTTCTTTTTATTTTTCTGGATTCCCTATGAAGTAGGTGTGTCCAACTAAGCAGGATAGCAGAAATTTTAAATCGATTCAAATCGTCGTATTAAAATCTTGGAATAGCAAAGAATATAACGGGTTTAGCCTTTTTTTTTTATAATGAGAAAACATGTAAAATAAACAATAAATAAAAATTATTATTGTTAATTTACATTTAAATATTTTATAAATACAATCAATTTTAGATTGATATTGAAAATAATTCCTCACTGTTTATATATCTCTTCATTTTAAAGGGATAAATTCGAAGAAAACGATCTTATTGTTATCCTCTTGAAAATATATATTGAGAATCAACATATATTATTCAATAGGATCAGTGGGTTGACTCTAATATCATCCACCAAGTTGAAATTTAATATGATGACGTAACTATGGGTATTCAGTCATCATTTATTATTTACTGTGGCAGATAAAAAACCGGATAACATAACATATCTATCTTTTTATTTTAATATGCATTAAATATATAATAAAATAAGAGTTTATTATACTTTTATCTTATTCTTATTCAATTATTCATATACTAACTTTCCTATCTTATTAAAGTATAAGTATTAGTAAAAAAAAATGCTACTATTAAAGACAGAAAACTTAATTTAAATGTAAAATATTTAAAGAAATGCTATTAGTAAAATTTTATTGAAAGATAAAATATTTATTATATTTGAATATTTTATTATAATAGTTACTCTTTCGATAAACATTTACTGAATCTTTAAATTTAAAGAAATAAAGATAGTAAACTGTTAAATTTATAATAAAAATTGGTGGCTGGGTGTATAATATATTGCTTGCCAGTTGCCAATGCCATTCAATATTATTCTTTTGATCTTTCTTTACATAAGAATAAAGAATCTCAGTTCTTTGATATGTCTTAAATTTCTCCATGCTTCCGCGTAGACCAAGTCAAGATCAAGAGGTTACTTACGGTGTTTGAAAAGGTTACTGTCACAGACTTTCAAAAAATAAAAAATGACAATTGTTTATAAAAAATAAAAGGAAAAAAAAAATCTTCAGCAAAGCTAAATACAGGTCTTATTTTATTATAACTAAATTTCTTTTTTTCTTCTAATCTGTAGTACTTGAAATAATGTTTTGATTACACGTTGAAAGATTTGAAAATGTAGATTCGGAAAGGAAGCAATTCATTGTATTTTAATAGAGTTGACAATTTAATTGAATGCATTTAATCACTGAAAAGAAGTCATGTATTAGTAACAAAAAAATGTTGGTGTTAAAAGTATATTTATTAGTATAGTTTTTATTTAAATATTATAGATTTAAATTAACATTATAGTACATTATGATAATATTTGATATACTAATAATAAGTATTAATTTTTCATATCAATGAAATAATTTATGCTAGCATAATATACTATTTTATTAGTAAATATTTATACACATTTAATTTCAATTGAATAAAAATTATATTAACAGAAGCTACTTCAGTTATGTAACACCAAACTAGTATATAATATTTTTTTATATAATCTTCCCTTATTCATTTAAAATGTTAACTATAGTTTAAATTAGGTTGGTTCTCAATTTATAGTATTTTAATCTGCTACAACTCTAGAGAGAATTAACAATACATGTTTTGTTAATTCTCTTTATAGTCAATCTTCTTAAATATCTTGCTACAAGATATATATTCCAAGTATTTGGTCCAAATTTTGATCCATTTTTTTTCTTTGCCTTGTGAAGTATACTCCTAACATTAATTCTTCTCGGCATTATCATCTCAATAACAACAACTATTAATTCTTCTCAGCACTATTATCTCAATAACAACAAGATAATTTAGTTATTGACTTAATATATGATTAGCCTCATCTGACCTATTATATATATATAAAACTTTCGTGTTTTTTCTGACTTATTATATATATATATATATATATATATATATATATATATATATATATATATATATATATAACTTTCGTGTTTTTTCTGCTATTGAATGATCACTTTTTCTTAAAATTTATTTCATGATGAGTATATTTTAAAAAAATACATATTAGTGTGTTTGATAAACACAAACCCAATTCCATAGGTACATGATGAAAAGTATATGCCCGAATTGATTAGTGTTATACTTGAAGTTTTCTTATAATATAATGTTCTGAATGTGTGTAAGGGTAAGCCCAAGGATGAAGTAAAACTCTTAACTCTAAGCTCTTCCAAAATTGTCAAGTCAGAAGCTAATTTGACTTATAAATGATAAAATCAAGAATTGAGTTAATTGATGTGCAGCAAAATCAATAAACCAAATGCCTTTATATAGTGATCAAAGTTAAAGATGAAATTGTCAAAATCAATAATCACATGAAACAACAAATTCTTATTACTAAAATGATTAGTTAGCTAGCTGAGCTGATCACTTTAAAAATTTCTTATTTTTAAGGCCAAGTGAAAAATATAGAATGACTGTAGAGGAAACATTGCATCATTTAAAGCAGAACCATTGGCCTTAAAAATAAGAAATTTTTGTGCCCCTTATCATGTACATGACAATATTTTGCTTTTTGTGCAAAGGGCGAATAGTCACTATAATGAAGGATAAGATCGGATACAAGATAAGTATATGTACAAAGCACGTGCACCAGAAAATACTTAAATCATGAGTTATCTCATATCTGAAGTCTCCATTTCAAGAAGCTGAGCTATGCTTCTCATAGTTGGTCGAGATAGAGGGTTTGTTTGCAAACAAGAGAGAGCAAGGTTTGCAATTAATTGCAATTCCTTCAAAACATGGCTCTTCGCAGGAGGTGGTAGACGAGTATCTAAAATCTCTTTTAAGTTTATTTTTTGTTCACTTGAAGTTTGTATGTAGGAAACAATATCACCAGGGTGCCTTCCTGTAAGAATCTCAAATGCCAAAACACCAAAGCTGAACACATCACATTTCTCTGTCACTGCCATTGTGTAAGCAAGCTCTGCACCATAGTCAGCAGACAATCAAAATTAGCCAATTGCAAACTAGAAAAATTAAGTTGTATCAAATGGTAGAATTTAAGTAACGCTTTTTCTGAAGTGTGCAAAGCAGAACCACACGTATTAAGAAATCAATAAATGTTAAAATTTTTATAGAAAGTTAAGCATTTAATGTTATAAATCCCTTCCATCTTTATTATTGATATTCGTGATCTTCGAAAAAAAAAAAAAACTTACTGGGTCTATGTTCTTACTAGGTACTGTTAAGCACACGTTAAAAGAAATTATATAAATAAATCAAATTTTCAATGTGTGTCTAATGATACACAAGAAAAACTTATATATAATAAATTTTTATTAGAAATCATAGAATTTTTATTATGTTTCAAGATGTTATTGTATATAATTATTATTTATGTGTATATATTGTTTTTATATACTTTAAATAGGTGTAAATGCTAGATTGATTAGTTGTAATCCTTACATATCAGCTTAGGAATTAGCCTACCTAGAAATAAATATATCCCTTTAATTTAGCCTAAATATCAGTCTTATTGTTTGTATATTGATCTATATATTGAATGGAAACTAGAAACATGACAGGCAAGTCATTCAGCCATATTTTTTATATGGTATCAAGAGCCTAAATTTTGGGTGGGATGTTCGTGTCTTTTTTTTTTTCTGAGCCTTGATTTTCTTGTTCTTTGTTCGCTTAGGGGTTTTCTTGTTTGTCAGGGTTTTTTTTTTTTTTTTCCATTCATTACTTTGTAATGGCTGGTAGTACACCTGAATTTTGTGTCAAATTTACTGGAAAAAATTATGCAACTTGGGAATTTCAGTTTCAATTATTTGTTACTAGGAAGGAGTTATGGGGACATATAGATGGCACTGTCCCAGCTCCCACAGATGCTATAGAGTTAGCTCAATGGAAATTCAAGGATACTTGGGTTATGTCATGGCTTATAATGTCATGTGATCCTCAGATTGCTCTTCATTTACGTCCACACAAAACTGCCAAAACGATGTGGGACTACTTGAAGAAGGTTTATAATCAAACAAATTCAGCTAAAAGATTTCAGTTGGAGTACGAAATTGCTAACTACTCTCAAGGAAACTTGTCTATTCAGGAATATTTTTCTAGATTTCAAAATTTATGGGCTGAATTTTCTGATATTGTTTGTGCTACTGTTTCCACAACTTCTCTTTCTGATATATTGGTTGTTCATGAAGTTTATGATGAAGCTTCGACCGGATTTTGAGAATATTCGTTCTCATTTGATGAATCATCATCCTTCTCCTACCTTGGATGATTGCTTTGGTGAGTTGATTCGTGAAGAACAACGTCTCTTTACTCAAGCCTCTCTTGATTAAGACAAGCTGACTGCTGCACCTCTAGCCTTTTTGGCTCAAAGAAGAGACAAAGGTAGGGATATGAGTAAAGTTTAATGTTATAGTTGTAAGAATTATGGTCACATTGCTACACAATGTACTAAAAAAATTCTGTAATTATTGCAAAAAGCTAGGACACATTCTCAATGAGTGTTCAATTTGGCCTCAAAATCGCCAGCCTATTGCCTACCAAGCCACTATAGGAAATTCATCTTCTGGTCAAATTACAGATGGGACTTCACCTCCTTCTGTAGTCAATAATAGTGCTGAAACCATCGTTCTTACTGCTGACATGGTGCAACAAATGATTATTTCTGCTTTCTCTACTTTGTGGCTTCAAGGTAATCGAAAATCATCATCTAATTCTTGGCTTATTGATTCTGCAGCCTCAAACCATATGACTAGCTCAAAAAATTATCTGCAAAATGTTCGCCCATACAATGGTTCCGAACAAATCCAGGTCGCTAATGGACACACTATACCCATTACTGCTGTTGGAGATATTACTCCAATTTTGAACAATGCCTTTGTATCCCCTGAACTTTCTAATAATCTCATTTCAGTTGGACAATTAGTGAAAAATAATTGTAATGTACATTTTTCTCTTGATAGATGTTGTGTGCAGGATCTGGTGTCGAGGACAGTGATCGCGAAGGAACCTAAAGTTGGACGTTTGTTTCCTCTACAATTTTCTATTCCTTATCATGTGGCATTTTCTACTCATGTCAATAAAAGTGAAGTATGGCATAGGTAATTGAGACATCCCAATTCTGTCATTTTGTCTCGTTTGTTGAATTATGGTTGTTTGGGAAACAATAAACTTGTATCTTTTGATTGTTCTACATGTAAACTAGGAAAAAGTAAAATACTTCCGTTTCCAATAATTGGTAGTCGTGCATAACACTGTTTTGATATTATTCATAGTGATGTATGGGGGATCACACATGTTATTTCTCATGCCAACTATAAATATTTTGTGACATTTATTGATGACTACAACCGATTTACTTGAATTTATTTTCTTCGCTCTACATCTGAGTTTCTCTCTATTTTTCAGACTTTTCTTACATATATTGAAACTCAATTCTCTACAGTTATTAAGGTACTTCGATCTGATTCTGGTGGCAAGTACATGTCTAATGCAGTACATGATTTTTTGAATAAAAAAGGTATTCTCTCTCAACGTTCTTTTCATATAAACCCCAGCAAAATGGAGTGGCGAAATGGAAAAATCATCATCTCTTAGATGTGGTTCGTACTTTGTTGCTTGAATCTTCTGTTCCACCTAGTTTTTGGGTAGAACCTTTATCTACTGCATTTTATCTCATTAATCGTTTACCCTCCCAAACACTAAATTTTGACACATCATATTTTCGTCTTTATCATATTCATCCATCCTACCAACATCTACATACTTTTGGTTGTATTTGTTTTGTTCATTTGCTTTCTGCTCAATTTGTTAAATGTGCATTTATGGGATATAGTGCTCATCACAAAGGTTTTGTTTTCTATGATCTTAATTCAAAAAGACTACGCATTTCTCGGAATGTTGTTTTCTTTGAAAATCAATTTTTCTTCCCAACTCATGTTCATTCATCACCTGAGTTTGTTACTCTTCCTAATTTTGATGACATGATATCTCATATAAATCGATTCAAGCTTGGATTGGTGTACACACGACGTCCTCCTTCATCATTGTCCCCTTCTGATCTAAACCTGCAATCTACTGCTGCTCCACTAGTTTTGAGACGATCCAGCCGAGTTTCTCGTCCTCCGGATATGTACAGCTCTTATCATACATCATATACTACTGCTTTGATTTCTATTTCAGTTCCATCTTCTTACTCATAGACAGCTTCTAATGAGTGTTGGCAGCGAGCGATGCAAGAGGAACTTCATGCTCTTCAAGAAAATCAAACTTAGGACATTGTTCAATGTCCACCTCATATTAAGCCCATTGGGTGTAAATGGGTTTACTTAGTCAAACTTCGTTCCGATAGGACTCTGGATTTCTATAAAGCTAGGTTGGTTGCTCTTGGAAATCGACAAGAGTATGGGGTTGATTATGAGGAGACATTTGCTCTTGTGGCAAAAAGACTACTATTTGCACCATCATTGCCATTGCTGCCTCACAAGAATGGCCTCTTTATCAACTAGATGTCAAAAATGCTTTTCTCCATGGTAATCTCAAAGAAGATATATACATGAAGCCACCCCCTGGTATGTTTTCCTCTTCTACTAAGGAGGTTTGCAAGTTGAATCGCTCTCTTTATGGCTTAAAACAAGCACCACGAGCATGGTTTCAGAAGTTTCGCTCCATATTGCTTAAGTTTCAGCTTGTGCAAAGCCAATATGACTCCTCCTTGTTCCTTCGTAAGACTTCTAGTGGAATTATTCTACTTCTAGTATATGTAGATGATATTGTTATCACTGGGACATATCCTTTATTGATTACACAACTTCAGCAACATCTTCATGATTTCTTTCATATGAAGAATCTTCGCAATCTTACTTATTTTTTGGGGCTGGAAGTTCACACTAGTCCATCTGGCATATTCTTACACCAACATAAATACACTCAGGATTTGATTTCTTTGGCTGGTCTTCAAGATTCTTCATCTGTTGATACTCCTCTAGAGGTAAATGTTAAGTACCATGCTGACGAGGGAGATCTCCTTCCTGATCCTTTATTGTATCGACAATTAGTAGGCAGTTTGAACTACTTAACTATTACTAGGCCTGATATCTCCTTTGCTGTACAACAAGTCAGTCAATTTATGCATTCTCCAAGACATTTGCATTTGGTTGCTGTTCGTCGCATCATTAGATATCTACGAGGTTCTAATTCTCGTGGTCTATTATTTTCCACTGGGTCTCCTCTACGACTTATTGCTTTTAGCGATGTTGATTGGGCCGGTTGTCCCAATACTCGTCGCTCTACTACTAGTTGGTGCATGTTTCTTGGAGACTCCTTGATATCTTGGAAAAATAAGAAGCAAGATCATGTCTCCAAATCATCTACTGAATCTGAATATCGTGCAATGTCTGCTGCATGCTCGAAAATCACTTGGCTTCGAGGATTGTTGACTGAACTTGGTTTTCCTCAAGCTGAACCCACTCCTCTTCATGCTGACAACACAAGTGTCATTCAACTTGCTGCTAATCCAATTTACCATGAGCGCACAAAGCACATCGAAGTGGATTGTCATTATATTCGAGAAGCTGTAGACACATAAATCATTTCTCTTCCTCTTGTTTCCACAAGTTTACAGATAGCAAATGTTTTTACCAAGTCTCTCACAAGACAACGTCATCAATTTCTTGTTAGCAAATTGATGCTTCTTGATCAACCAGCATCAATTTGAGGGGGGATGTTATTGTATATAATTATCATTTATGTGTACAGATTGTTTTTATATACTTTAAATAGGTGTAAATGCTAGATTGATTAGTTGTAATCCTTACATATCAGTTTAGGAATTAGCCTACTTAGAAATAAGCATATCCCTTTAATTTAGCCTAAATATCAATCTTATTGTTTGTATATTGATCTATATATTGAATGGAAACTAGAAACATGACAGACAAGTCATTCAGCCATATTTTTTATACAAGGCACATGTCAGAAAATTCATAAGTGAATAGATATTACAGAACTAAAAAGAATGCAGAAAGGTGTGAGGCAAGCTCACCTGGAGCAGCATAGCCATATGTGCCGGCAAATGATGTCCAAATAGGCGAATCAGGCTTCAGAAACCTGGCAGTGCCAAAATCTGAGACATGAGCTTTAAGATTGGTGGACAATAAAATGTTCTTGCTTGATATGTCTCTATGAATTAAAGGTGGAGCACAATCATGATGCATGTAGGACAAAGCGCTTGCTACACCTTTGATGATGTCAAACCTTTTATGCCAATCTAATTCTAATGCTTCCTTGTCATCTCTCAGCGTGTCAGATAAGTTCCCCCTATCCATGTACTCATAAATCAAAAACGTGTGCACCCCTTCAGAGCAAAATCCATAAAGCTTCACAATGTTTCTGTGCCGTGTTTCTGTCATGGCTTCTACCTCACTCTCAAAGGTTTTTATACTCTCAAAATCTAAGTTGTCTGCATCACATTTCAACTTTTTTACAGCAAATACTTGACCTCCTTTCATCTCCGCTTTATAAACTTTTCCCAGTGCTCCTTCACCAATGCAATACTCGTTGTCAAAGTTCTTAGTAGCTTCAATGATGTCTGCATACACAACTTTACCATTAAAGTACCAAATTGAAAATGGATTTGGTCTGTTGAAGGAGGTTTTTTGCCTTGGAGCTCTTGACTTTCTCTTACAGCAAAAGAAAAAAATACCAACTATAACCAATGAGAGAACAAGAGCGCCTCCCAAAGAAGCAACAATAGGGATCACAACCTTGTTGTTGTGACTTGATCCACCATTTGGTTGAGTGAGAGAGACATTACAGGGTCTCAAACCTCTAATATTCCCACACAAATCTTTGTTGTTGCTCAAATCCAGTGGATGATGAGAAGAGTTGAATATGCCGCCTGTAGGAACAGGACCCTCCAAATTATTATAGGAGAGGTTTACGGCTGACAAGCTCAACATTTCACTAAGTGAGTCAGGAATTGGACCTGACAGATTGTTGTGAGAGATATTCAAGCTTATCAGATTTGAAAGCTTCCCAAGATCAGGAATTTCTCCCGAAAGTGAATTGTAACTCAAGTCCAAGAAGTCTTGTAAAGCTGCAAGGTTTCCAATTTGATAAGGGATTGTGCCATTCAAGTGATTGTTGCTCAAATTTAAATTCTGCAAGTTGGAGATGTCCCCTATCTGACTTGGGATTGGTCCCAACAGCAAGTTCATAGACAGGTCCAAAGACCTCAAATTGGAAATCTTTCCAATTTCTGCCGGTATCATACCTGTGAGTTTGTTATCACTCAAATTTAATTCATACAAGTTGGAGGAATTTCCTATCTGTGGTGGAAGCTCTCCTGATATTTGATTAGACGATAGATCAAGCTCTTGTAGTTGGTTCAACTGAAAAATCTCACTTGGAATGCTGCCACTCACAGCATTCCCTGCCATTCTAAGTAATTGCATGTTTTTACAGGAACCCCAATTTGCAGAGAACTCACCTTGCACCCTGTTATAGCTGAAGTCCATGTAAGTGAGATTAGGATACACTCCAAAATCCTCATCTGCATAACCTGTCAGCTGGTTGTATTCAAGTCTAACTCTATACAAGGCTGGGCAGTTTTTAAGGCTTTTTGGAATTGGGCCAGTGAAACTATTGTAGGCTGCACTGAAATTCACAAGAGTGCCACTTTTGCACACTTGTGGTGGTAATTCACCAATAAAGTTGTTTTCAGCAAGATGCAACACAGTTAAGGAAGACAAGTTTCCAAACTCTTGTGGCACAGTGCCATTTAAGTTGTTAGTGAAAAAGCGCACATCGGTTAGATTGGTTAATTTACCAATACTAGGGGGAATTGGGCCTGAGAGCTGATTTTGAGGCATTCTAAGAATGCTTAAATGTGTGCAATTACCAAGAGATGGAGGAATAGGACCATAGAAGCTGTTTCCATCAAGAGCAAGTAGAGTCAAGTTTCTTATGTTCCCTATTTCATTTGGAATTCTACCACCTAAAAGGGTGTCTTGGAAGAGGAGATTCCTGATACCAATGAGGCCACTTTTGGGCTGATCAGATCCATCAGGAAATAAGCGAGGGTCCAATATCCCAGTTATATCATTTCTTGAAATATCAAGCTCATAAACTTGAGTCAAATTGGCAATAGAAAGAGGGAGGGTGCCATTTAGATAGTTAGTAGAAAGATCAAGGAATTGAAGCTTTGAGAGGATGCCAATGTTTTGTGGTATGAGGCCAGTGAGATTGTTTACTTTGAGATCAAGACGAAGAAGGTTTGGGAAAACAGACAAGTTCAAGTTTTGAAGGGTACCTGCAAGTCCGGTGTAAGCCAAGTTTATTATAGTGACACTGCCTTGGGAATCACAAGTGATACCTCGCCATGAACATGGGCTTTGAGTTGTTACATTGGAGGAGCTGATCACCCATGACTCCAAAATGGGTTGTTTAGGAAGACTTTGTTTCCACCTGAAAAGGGCCTCAGCTTGTGTTAGGCCTGAAGTGCGTTGACATAGAGCAAGTAAAACCACCAAAGTAGCTGAAATTTGAAAGGAGGCATAGCATGTATGGTTGCTCATTGGAATGTTCACAACAAAATGGCTGCTTCAAGTGCTTATTTGTTTGATCAAGATTCAACACTTTCATATATGAATGTTTATATTACCATTACCATTACCCTTAGCTGCTCAATTAAATTTGACTTTTTTTTTATCCACGAACTGACAGCTCTTCTGGTTGATTTTTCTCGCATGAGAAATTTGTATAATTGACTTTGCATGAGAATAGGACCACATTATTTATTTAATTATTTAGCATTTAATATAAGGAAGGTCTTATATGAAGTATGAACTAATATAATATTCTTCTTGGAGGAGGATTTGTGTCACGGTATTCTGGTACTGCACTCAACCTACACTTGCAACTTAAGTCGTTACTGCATTCAATTAAATAATCGTATTTTATTTGTTACATACAAATTACTGAATTTTATAAACTGAAAAAAATGCATTGAGCTGCCTTCAAGGATTTCGGCTGCAGTTGCCGCTTGGAAACATTGCTGTTCTTTTGGAGAATAGTTTACGTCAAACTAGCAGCATCTCTAGCATTAAAAGATTAATTCAAAATATTGTAATATGATAAAAATATTTAAAATTATAAAATGTACAAAATGTATGAATTAAAAATATTGAAAAAAAAGGGTGAAGGCAACAAAGATATATGTAAATGTTTAAGAAATATTTCATTAAAAGATTGTCACTTTTAACGTTGTGTACTTTAATTTAAGATAGAGTACACTTCTTATATTATTACTTTATTAATTATTAGCATTTTTCATGATTTGTCATTTGATTTTGCTCTAAATTGAATATTATTTTAATTTGTAATCGATCCGTACAGAAATGGCGGCGACATTCATTTCTCAATCTTATTATAGTTATAATATTTTCTAGAGACTTTTCAATCAATCCGTATCTTTCTTTCCTTAATTTCATGCGCCACGTTCCTTATTCAAAGATTGCAATTAATCGTTATCAATGTTTTCTTAAAATAATTCAATCCCAAATTAATGAAAATTTAACTCACTGATTTATTAGATATAGTTATTTTTTCTGTAAAATTTTTACCTTATTTCTTGTACCAACACATCTCGCATAGTCATTTATGTAATATAATGTAACATTTACTTGTTAATTTTATCATATTACATTCTTTTCTTGATTCTTGATTCATTTTTCAATCAATCAATATGAATCTTTTCTTAAATTGATGATGAACAGTTTTTTCCTTTCCTTTCATGATTCTATTTTCATTTTTCCCGTCTTGGTTTTTATTTTTTATTTTTTCATACAATAGTTAAATCTTTATTAAATGTGTCTACCTTTTTCTTATTTTATTTTATAGTTTTTCTTTATTTGTTCTTGTGCTTAACTTCTTACGCACAGTATCTCATTTCTTAAATTATAATATTTTTGCTTAATTTGATACTTGACATCTCCAAAATTGATTTGCTACCAAAAGACACAACGTGAAATAAAACAAGTAAAAGAGAATTGCACAAATTTAACCATTCTAATATGCACAATAGACTACTTATATAAAAGATAATACCAGTACTATCCACAATTAGAGAAGTGCATAAGTTCAACTATCTTAATGCATACTTGTAAGCTAGTTGGCTGAGCCTGTTCTTTATGAAGAAAAAATGACTCTAATACTAAACACCCTTTTTCTTATCTTCTAAGAAGCATATGCTATTATGTTAAAGAAGAGAATGAAGAGATAACCGAACCATTTCTTTACATATGCAGCTCGTTGAGCCAAAAGGATTCCTTTTAGAAAAGAGAAAAGGCACAATCACATATAATATACACAACACATGAGCTTCATAAATTCTTTTTTTAGAAGTTAAAGCCTAATGAGTAATGAGTTACTTGGGAGTCTCTTATCAAGTTGCTGAGCTATGCTTTGCATGGTTGGTCGAGACTGAGGGTTGGTTTGTAAACATGATAGAGCTAAATTTGCAATCAATGCCAATTCATTCAAAATCTGTATATTTGTAGGAGCAGGAGGTGAGAGGCGTGGGTCTAAAATCTCTGGCAAGTTTATCATTTGATCACCAGTATTTGATTGTATCAAGGAAACAAGATCACCAGGGTGCTTTCCCTTCAGAACCTCTAAAGCCAATACACCAAAGCTGAACACATCACATTTCTCACTCACTGCCATTGAGTAAGCAAGCTCTGTAGCAACCACCAGCAAGTGAAAACAAGTCAATTGCAGAAACAGAGGAAGAAGAAAGTTGTATTTGGTTTTCTCAGCTACAACTTGAGATCATCTCAAACATAACTTTTGCTTTGGTATTATCAAAGATTAACGGATAATATATCTAATGGAGTGATAAACTTGCAGATTGACTACTTTAACTCAGTTTGGATAAATTTTTTAATAAGTACTTACAAGAATTAAAAATTAAGTAGTAAAATAAATGAAACTCTTCTTATAAGTTAAAAATAGCTTCTATTTCTCTATTTTTTAGAACCTCTTTCATTCAATATTTTTAAAACTTCGGGAGTATAAGTTGCTTTTAACTTATGAAAAAAGTTTTATTTATTTTTTATATTGATTTTCTTCTTCTACAAGTACTACATAAACTGAATCTTTATCTATAACTTGAAATTTCTGAAACAGAATAGTTCTAGTTAAAGTTCATGCAAAAGTGTTACCATAAATAAAAGCATGAAAGAGTTATGCAGAGGATAGGTGAATTCTGAAGCCCACCTGGAGCAGCATAGCCATATGTGCCAGCAAAATTTGTCCACATAGACGAATCATCAGGATTTAGCAACTTTGCAGTGCCAAAATCTGCGACACGAGCTTCAAGATTGGAGGACAATAGAATATTCTTGCTTGATATGTCTCTGTGAATTATAGGTGGAACACAATCATGATGCATATAGGACAAAGCTTGTGCTACCCCTTTCACAATATCAACCCTCTTAGGCCAATCGAGGTCTAATGCTTCATTGTCATTTCTCAGCATATCATGTAGATTCCCCCTATCCATATGCTCATTAACCAAAAATAAGTGCAACCCTTTAAAGCAAAATCCATAAAGCTTGACAATGTTACGGTGGCGTATTTCAGTCAAGGCTTCTACCTCCCTGTTGAAGATTTTTATACTCTCAATATCTATGCTTTCTGCATCACATTTCAACTTCTTTATGGCAAATACTTGACCTTGTATCACTGCTTTAAAAACCTTTCCTTGTGCCCCCTCTCCAATGCAGTATTGGTCGTCAAAGTTGTTAGTAGCTTCGATTATCTCTTCATACACAACTTTCCCATCAAAGTACCAAACTGAAAATGGATTTCCTTTCTTGGCTGCCAAGTCTTCTTGGGTTGGAACAACTGAGTTCCTCTTATGGATAAAGAATAAAACCCCAACAATTACCAATGAAGGAAAAAGGGCACCCCCCAAAGAAATGATTATCACAACCTTGTTAGTGTTACCTCCACCATCAGTTTCAGTGAGTGAGACCTTGCAAGCTGGCAAACCTTGAATATTCCCACATAAATCTCTGTTGTTGCTTACATCTGGCAAATGAGAAGAGTTGAATATGCCACCATCAGGAACACGGCCACCCAAATAATTGTAGGAGAGGTCCATGGATGACAAGCTCAACATGTTGCCAAGTGAATAAGGTATAGAACCTGAGAGGTAGTTGTGAGAGAGATTCAAGCTTATCAAGCTTCTAAGCTTACCAAGATCAGCAGGAATTTCTCCAGAAAATGCATTGTAACTCAAGTCCAAAAATTCTTGTAAGGATCCAAGATTTCCTATTTGGTAGGGAATTGAGTCATTCAAGACATTTTGGCTCAGATTCAAGCTGACCAAGTTGGAGCATTCACCTGTTTCATGAGGAAGTGGTCCCCAAAGTATGTTCTTAGATAGGTCCAACAACTGCAAATTAGAGAGTTTTCCAATTATTGGTGGTATCATACCAGAGAGATTGTTATTACTCAAATTTAATTCAGACAGGAAAATAGGATATTTTCCTTCTTGCAAAGGAATTTCTCCTGATAATTGGTTGGATGATAGGTCAAGTCGAACTAGCTGCTCCAGTTGAAAAATCTCAGCAGGAATATTGCCACCTATTTCATTCCCAGCCATTGTGAGGGATTGCAAGTTTTTGCATGCACCCCAATTTGTAGAGAGCCTACCTTGGAACTTGTTGTGGCTGATGTCAATGTAGGTGAGGTTGGGATACACCCCAAATTCCTGATCCACATAACCTGATAGCTGATTGTTATGGAGTATAACCCTGTATAAAGATGCACAGTTTCTAAGGCTTACAGGAATTGGGCCAGTGAAATTGTTGTAGGATGCACTGAAATTTACAAGCTTACCACTGGTGCACAGTTGTGGCAATTCACCAGTGAAGTTGTTCCAAGAAATATGCAACAGAGTTAAAGATGAAAGCTTTGCAAATTCTTGTGGCAGCTTACCATACAAATTGTTGGAATAAAAGCGAAGATCAGTTAGATTGGTCAGTTTTCCAATGCTTGGGGGAACTTTGCCCGAGAGATAATTCTCAAGCATGCTGAGAACTCTTAAGTGGGTGCAGTTGCATATAGATGGAGGAATAGACCCATGAAAGTTATTTCCATCTAGAACTAACACAGTTAAATATTTTAGGTTCCCTATTTCATTTGGAATTGTGCCACCAAGAGAGGTATCCTGGAACAAGAGATTCCTTATAGCAATGAGCCCAGTTTTGGGGTGATCAGTTCCATCAGGAAAGAAACGAGGATCTAACATCCCTTTTATATCATTTCCTGACACATCAAGCTCATAAAGCTGAGTCAAATTGGCCATAGAAAGAGGTAAAGTTCCATCGAGATAATTGGTGGAAAGGTCAAGAATTTTGAGTTTTGAGAGCACCCCAATATTTTGTGGTATGGTGCCAGTGAGTTTGTTTACTTTGAGATCAAGACGAATGAGGTTTGGGAAAGCAGACAAGTTCAAGTTTTGAAGGGTACCTTCAAGTCCTTTGTATGCTAAGTTTATTACAATGACACTGCCTTGGGAATCACAAGTAATACCAGGCCATGAACAAGGACTTTGAGTTGTTGCAGTGACATTGGTGATCCATGAACCCAAAATTGGTTGGTCAGAGAGACTTTGTTTCCACTTGAGAAGGGCCTGAGCTTGTGTCAGCCCTAAAGTACATTGACAAAGCACCAACAAAACCAACAGAGTGGCAGGAACTTCAAAATCAGCGTGGTTGCTTCTATGCTTTGCCATTGGTTCCCAATTCTTCACTTTTTTACTCTGTAACTACCATTTGTTCTTCGTTTAAATTGGGAACAATGCATCAAAGTTCAACTTTCAAACTGAGTTGACTTTGATAATTAGTATTCGCAGCCATGAATTTACTTTACTTAAACGATCATTGCCGTCATGATTGCTGTCGGTTTTAAAAAAATTGCACCTGTACAAATTTCTTATACCTGCAAACGTAATAAAATCATGCATGATTGTATTACAAAAAAACTATCACCGTACTTTGTAACATATTAATTTTTAATACATTATTAATCGATTAAAATTTATTAAATATTGCAAAAAAATATTTAAATTATACTTTTTTATTCTTAAATTAATATTTTTCTTTTTATTTATATATTTTTAATAAATTATAATTAATAGTTAAAGTGTGATAAAAAAAATATATTAAAAAATATATTTATAACATTTATCCTGTGTTAATCCTTTAAAGTTAAACTGTACAATCATGTATCTTAATAATTTTTTATTGAAATCTAATTATAATAGAATTTCAATTATTTGGTTACTTTGTACTTTTAAACACATTTTTTGAGTTTTAATTTTGGTTAACTAACATTTAGGGATAGAAATAAGTTAACAAATATAGTTTTAATTTCAATTCATTTTTTGACTTTGCATAAATAGGTCTGACCTGTTTAATAATTTTAAAGCTTAAGTCTAACCTATTAATATATTAAAAAGTATATTTGTAACATTTCTCCTGTGTTAATCTTTTAAAGTTAAATTGTACAATCATGTATCTTAATAATTTTTTATTGAAATCTAATTATAATAGAATTTCAATTATTTGGTTACTTTGTACTTTCAAACACATTTTTTGAGTTTTAATTTTGGTTAACTAACATTTAGGAATAGAAATAAGTTAGCAAATATAGTTTTAATTTCAATTCATTTTTTGACTTTGCATAAATAAGTCTGACCTGTTTAATAATTTTAAAGTTTAAGTCTAACCTATTATTTGTCATAAGTTTTTCATTAAACTTAATATGATCTTTTTAAAAGCCTAGTTTTTAGTCTGTTAACTTTTTTAATGAACTATTTAATATGAGATCTTATAAATAAATTATTAAATCATCTAAATCGATATATCTTTTTAAAAGTCATAAGACTTATATCTAAATAAATTATTAAAAAAAGTAATTCAACACTTTGAATATATATAATAAAATTATATATTCTTATTTATCACTTTCAAACCACATATTTAATTTAAATAAGTAAATCACTACATGTATAAAAAATATAATAAAATGAACATCAATATATAAATTATTAAGCAAATCTAGTGGCACAAATCTTACACATTAAATCAACAAACACAATATAACTAAAATACTAAATAAGTTTCGGACTTAAAATTAGCAAATGTAACAAACAAAATCTAAAATATACAAATAATATTTTTCATAATGAATGTGCAACAACAAATATGTCATTAGATTTTCAAAGAGATCTCTTCATGTTATTTATCAACCTTCAAAATAAAGAAAAATATTATTAGAATAAAAATACTTTAAAAATAATGATTATAAATATTTTTTAAATATACTTTCAGAAGTTATTACCTTTAATTTTCTCGTTAAATTGAATTTTTATATACTATTAATATATTATTATATTATAATTTTTATATAAAAATATTTAATATATTGTTATAAATTTTAAATAAATAATTCTAATAGATCTAATAAAATTTTTTTAAACTCAAACTTAACTTATTTAATTAATTAAGCTTTTTAAAAAATTTAAATTAAGTCTATTAATTAAATAAGTTTAGTTAATTTATGCTTTAAAAAGGCTAGGTTATAGACCTTTGTCGGATAATATGATCTGACCTATTTTTATCTCTAAATTAAAAGTTGAATTATCCAAAAAATATTTAAATTATATTTCTTCGTTCATTTATTATTAAAAAGGAAATCAGCAAGTAACATGAAAATGTTATAGCGCACATTCCATATGAATATTAATTGCAGCCTATTTTGTTCAACTCCTACCTCTTTTTCTAATTCTTCCACTTATCATTTATCCAATTATAAACATTTGGTTTGGTAATGTATTTTTACGAAATTTTTTGTATTGCATAAGAATTCTCTTTCAATAAATATTTAAATTTGTCCCGGATAAATTCAGGGTAAAATACATTACTCTATAATAAATTAATAATATAAAGAATTACATTAATTCCTAAAAATCAAAATACACATCATGTTAATCTTTTTAAACGGAATATCTTAGTCTAAACAAAATAAATATCACTTGTATTTGTAATTTTGAAAATTAAAAGAATATTTTTATATTTATTGTTTTTTTAAAAGACTAATGTATTGCTTAAAAAAAATTTAAAACTCAAATTAAATATTTGTTAATGAATCTGTATTTGAAAAAAAAAAAATCAGCCCTTCTTTATAGAGATTAAAATATTTTATATCTTAATATCATTTTCTAATATTTCATATCTACAATGAAAGCTTAAAACGTGCTATCAATAATGTTAAAAATAATAAAAAGAGAAAATGTTTTAAAGAGTTTATTCTAGCTTGATATGCTTAGTTTTTTAAGGCAAATTTTAAGATAAATTTATATCTTTGGTTTTTAAATTTATTTATTTTTTGTTTTATTTCTTTAAGCATGTTTGAAATAAATTATTATTTGTTAATAACATTAAACTTTGATTAGCAAAAAAATAATAATAACATAAACTTTGTTAAATTATTTTATCTTTTTCTATCAAACACTATACACACCTGTCTCTTGTCCTCGTTCTTTTTTTTTCACCAATAAGATAACTCATTTCATTCTCACCTACCAAGATACTCCTTTCTACCATGAGCCAACATTGTAGAGTATCGATCAGTGTACTTCCCAACTTATTCAAATCATTACCTCTGTTGTGCCCCATCAATTGAAACGCATGTTTCTACTTTTGAAAAAATAAGAGGAAGAAAAAGAATAGTTAAAGGAAGGGGCGAGCCCATTTTCTAATTCATTTTTTGTAGGACACAACCCTCCACACAGTCTCATCTCTCTCTCAAGTTCACTCATTCTCTCGTTTATCTAAATGAATATTTATTTTCTCGTTCATTTAAAATTTTAAAAAAATTATTACAATTCTTTTTTTTTTTTTACATAAATAGTTTTGGATGAATCTTTGAAGTTAAAGATAATGTTTTAAGGAAAAAGAAGCATAACATAACTCGTTATTGAACAATTTTTATTTAAGTTCTTAAAGTATGCTCACAATTTAAATACATAAAAATATTGATTTTTGACAATTTTTTATTTTTAGAGAAGGTGTAATTTAGACCTTTAAGAATAAATTTATAGATTTTATCATTGAATTTAATTTTACATATTTGTTAAATATTATATTGGTATTCAAATTTATTGTCTTGAACTTCTCTTCAAGTTTCAAAATAGTCTTAGAGAGTGAGTTATTGGATGATATTTAAGTATGAGATATTTGCATTAATTCTTTTAATATAGAGAATAAATTTGGTTTATATATGAAAATAATTTTCTATGACGTAAATATTTTTAAGAGAAGTTATTTTAGAATCTCATAACTATTAGTAAGAATAATAGTCTAAGTGCACCTAACTATACTCTGAGAGTTAAGGACTATTCATTGAATGAAGTTATTTCCAAGAGAAAGGAGAAACCAATCTTGGAAGGAGAATACTAATAACGAAGCGAAATTGCCTTAGATCTTACTTCTGTCAATAGTGATGCTTACAATATTATATATGCTTAATGAGATACATTAAACAACTAACCATGCTTCTAAAATATGCTTGATCTATTTTCTCAGTTACATCCTCCTTAGAAGGCTTTTCCTTTTGATTCATAAGAGTGCTTATCTCTTTGCATTCTTCAAGTTTAAATTTCTTCAATATCTCCTTGGCATACTTCTTTTGACAAATAAAGACTTCATGTTCTCCTTGTTTGATTTCCATTCCAAGAAAGAAGGTCATTAGACCAAGACTCATCATTTCAAAAACCTCCATCATCTCTTTCTTAAATTTCTCCACAAGACTTAAGTTACTTCTTACCATAAGGAGATCATCTACATAGAGTGAGATGACAATAATACCAACTTCATCTTGCTTAAACAAACAATGTTGAATTCTGACAAGCTTTTGGCAAATCTCAATTTCAGCAAGTGTTCATCAATCCTGTTGTACCAAGCTCTTGGGGCTTGTTTCAACCCATAAAGAGCCTTCTTGAGAAGATAAACCTTATCTTCTTCTCCTTCTTTCACAAAGCCTTGGAATTGTTCAACATAGATTTCTTCTTGTAAAAAACCATTCAAAAAAGTTGATTTAACATCAAGTTGATAAACTCTCCAATTCTTTTGAGCAGTAACAGCAAGTAATAATATGATGGTGTCCAACCGAGCAACTGGTGCAAACATATATGAGTAGTCTACACCAAAAATCTGAGCATAACTGTTCACTATGAGTCTTGCCTTCTGTTTGTTAATAAACCATCTACATTTAGTTTTGTTCTATATACCCATTTGACCCCATTACTTTCCTGCCTTGAGGTCTTTCCATAAGAATCCAAGTTTGGTTTTTATCGTCATTAATAACTTCTCCTACATTGCAACTATCCAATTCATTGCTTCATCATAATCGACAAGTTTAGATATAGCAATATTGCATCTTTCATAAACATCATATTGCAGTCTAGTGCCTCTCACCGGAACATCATCCACTAATTCATTCTGCCAGCTTTCATCTTCAATTCATTCTGAGTTTGAAGGTGAAAAGTTGAATCTTACATCTGTAGTGACCAAGTCTGTTTTCTTTGTATCATCCCAATTTCATTCTTCATCTTCCACAAAGTGAACATCCCTATTGACAAGTACCTTTCGGATATGCGGTTGAAAGATTTTATAGGCTTCGCTAACATTGTTGTAGCCTATAAAAATTCCTACTAATGCTCTTTTATCT